AGCTCACTGTGCCCTTTATCCAGCTCACTGTACCCTTTACTCAGCTCACTGTGCCCTTTCCCCAGCTCATTGTGCCCTTTACCCAGCTCACTGTGTCCTTTACCCAGCTCACTGTACCCTTTAGTCAGCTCACTGTACCCTTTACCCAGCTCACTGTATCCTTTGCCCAGCTCACTGTGCCATTTACCCAGCCATCTGTACCCTTTACCCAGCCATCTGTACCCTTTACCCAGCTCACCGTGCCATTTATCCAGCCCACCATGCCCTTTATTCAACCCACTGTGCCCTTTACCCAGCTCACTGTGCCCTTTACCCAGCTCACTGTACCCTTTCCCCAGCTCATTGTGCCCTTTACCCAGCTCAGTGTACCCTTTACCCAGCTCACTGTACCCTTTACCCAGCTCACTGTGCCCTTTACCCAGCTCACTGTACCCTTTCCCCAGCTCATTGTGCCCTTTACACAGCTCACAGTGCCCTTTATCTAGCCCACTATGTCCTTTACCCAGCCCACTGTACCCTTTCCCCAGCCCACCGTGCCATTTATCTAGCCCACTATGCCCTTTATTCAACCCACTGTACCCTTTACCCAGCCCACTGTGCCCTTTACCCAGCCCACTGTCCTCTTTATCCAGCTCACTGTGCCCTTTATCCAGCTCACTGTGCCCTTTATCCAGCCCACCATGCCCTTTATTCAACCCGCTGTGCCCTTTATCAAGCTCATTGTCCCCTTCACCCATCTCACAATGCCCTTAACCTGCTGTGCCATTTACCCATTGCACTGTGCCCTTAATCCATTCCACCTTGCCCTATTACCCGCCTATTGCATCATTTCCCATTCCCTCTCTACCCTTTACCCATTTCGTTGTACTCCATACCTATCCCGCTGTGCCCTTTAAACCACCCTGCTGTGCCCTTTTCACATCCTACAGTGCCCTTAATCCATTTACTGTGCCGCTTATCCACCTCATCCACCCAGTTTGGATAAAAGAGTGAAGCCAGGTTCCGGTTCTGAAGTTATTGGGACAGCTGAGCTCACTCTGGCTTTGAGTGATTTTTTTCCTCACAGCCCATTGGTGAGGCCGTGAGATTCCCAAACAAAGGAAATGAAAGATGTGTGAATGTGAATTGTCTGGGAAAGTCACTGGAACAAAGGAGATTTATGCATTACTGCATAATTTCCCATTCAAACTGAAAATTGCTAATCTTTGTCCATCTCTGGCTATTTGAAAAAGCTCCCACTTCCGTTCCCAGTGCAATGGTTATTAAATTTATTTTACCAGTTCATTATAAGATGTTTTATTGTGGAGTGAGTGTACAACAATTTTTGTAGGGAGGCTGACAATATTACACTGCACTGTAAACACCTCAATACTGACTATAAGAGATGATTAAATTCATATCTTTAATATATTGCTGAGTTTCTTTTTCTTTCATGGGAAATGAGCATCACCGGCTGGGACCAATATTTATTATCTATCCCTAATTGCCTTGGAAAAGATGGCAGTGAACTGTTTTTTTTGAACTATTGTAGCCCAATAGATGTAAGAACACCCACAGTGCAGTTAGGAAGAACATTTTAGGATTTTGACCCAGTGACCATGAAGGAATGGTGAAACGGCTTCAATACGGAAAGGCATGTGGCTTGGAGTAGTGGCATTCCCACCCATCTGCTGCTTTGACCTTATAGATGGTAAAGGTCATCGCTTTGGAACGTTCTGTTGAAGGAGCCTGTGGTGAATTGCTACAATGCATCTTGTCGATGGTATACACATCTGCTACAGTGCATTGGTGGTGAAGGGAATAAATGTTGAAGGTGGCGGATGGGCTGCTAATCAAGCAGGCTGGACAGTATTGTCCTGGATGGTAATAAGTTCCTTGAGTTAGCGCTGCTGTCTCACAGCACCAGGGACCTGGGTTCAATTCCAGCCTCAGGTAACTGTCTGTGTGGAGTTTGCACATTCTCTCCGTGTCTGCGTGGGTTTCCTCCCGGAGCTCCGGTTTCCTCCCAAAGTCCAAAGATGTGCAGGTTAGGGTGGATTGGCCATGGGAAATTGCCCATTGTGTTCAGGGATGTGCAGGGTAGGTAGGTCAGCCATGGGAAATACAGGGTTACAGGGATAGGATAAGAGGGTGGGTCCGGGTGGCATGCTCTTTGGAGGGTCAGTGTGGTCTCGATGGGCCGTATGGCCCTTTTCCACACTGTGGGAATTCTATAGAGTGTCGTTGGAGCTGCACTCATCCAGGCAGTTAGGGCAGTGTTCCATCTCACTCCTGACTTGTAGAAGGTGAAAAGGCTTTAGCGAGTCAGAAAGTGAGCGACTTGCTGCAGAATTCCCAGCCTCCGGCCTGTCTTTATAGCCAGTGTCTCCCCCTTGTTATCTACTTGGTACTCACGAGGTTCAGGGGAGGACAAGCCCTGATGTTATGAATCAACAGGCCTTGAGGATTCCCAAACAGTTGTACCTAAGTTAGCTGAAGGATTAAAAATTTTGAATTTCTGCCTGTCTGATCTGTGCATGTGAAGTTTTCTGAGAAATGTGTTTGTGGCAGAGAATATAAAATAATTCTCTGCTGTTGTAACAGATAGAGACCCTTGTGGAATCCTTAACCCAGCTGTATTTCCAGTTGGTGAAGTGGTATGTTTGTAATGTGCTTGTGTATCCTTTAGTTTTCAAGTGCTCCCTATTTTCTGTTCCAGGTGATCATGGGGGGTGGCAGGAAATACATGTTCCCAAGGGATACTCCTGATCTTGAATATCCAAACGACTGGAAAGCCAATGGAACGCGACTCGATGGGAGGAATCTGGTGGAAGAATGGAAAGTCATGAAAAAGGGCAAGGTCAGCTTTTAGTTCAGCTTAATAACTGACATTATAAATCTTAACTTTACAAATATGTGCAAATGTGTTTAACTGAGACTTGTGCCCTGCTTTCGTTTGTGAATGATTAAAGAGGAATGCAATGCCAAGAGCTTTTACGCTTGTCATAGGCAAATACTAATTCCACTTATGGTGCTGTCTTTACCCTCTCTGTCATGCCTATCCATTTCTCAACTGTATTCCTCTGTTTTTCAACTTCAAACCAACTGTGATATATAGGGCCTTAGATGACCAGGTTCCTGACCCCACAATTCAAAATCTGGCCTATGATTTGAAACTAAGAAATACAGAATAGTTTCAGAGCTTGGCATTTAAATGAGTCATCTAATGAGGATTTTAGATTTGATTTGAAGTTTGTGTTCTAATCTGTAACAAGGTCCCCCTCTACAGCCATTGCAGCCTAGATATTTTCAAATCAGTCTGCTCAGAAACATTACTGCACACTCTGAAGATGCTGGGATATGAGCCAGGGCTTCTGATCCAGATGTAGGGACACTACCACTGTACCACACTCACAGACACACACAAACACATACACAGACAGATCCACACACACAGACAAACAGACAGACACAGACAGACAGACAGATACACACACACACAGACACACACACACACAGACACACACAGACACACACAGACAGACAGACACAGACATAGGCACACAGACACACACACACACAGACACAGACACAGTCAGACACACCTGTAACCTTCTCAAATTTTGGATTTTTCTTTCATTCGCATTGCCTTCATTCTACCATTGCTGACCTTGTTATAGACTGTCCAGGCCCTAATATCTACAGTTGCCTCTTTCCATACCTCTCTCCTTTTGCTTCAAGGCCCTCCTTAAGACCTATATTTCTGACCAAGCTTTGGCCATGTTACTCCTGTGGTGCAGAGAAAATTTCAGATTTCAGAACTACCCCACTAACCAGTCTTCCACCTTCTGTACAGTTGCTGAGTCAAACCTCCAGGCCTGGATTCAGTCCTGTATCACTGTGTTCCCCTCTCTAACCACCCCCAACAATTTCACTGATCCTCATTTGATCTTTGTCCATCCCATTGAAAACTCTTGTGCTCATTTTTAACTTGTTTCACTGCCCTCTCCTTCCCCCATTTCCTGTAACTTGCCCCCAGAGTTTCCATTACTTGGATTCCTGTCTCCCCATTCATAGAGTCATAGAGCTGTAGACTGTGGAAACAGACCCTTCGGTCCAACTCGTCCATGCCTACCAGATATCCTAAATTAATCTAGTCCCAGTTGCCAGCATTTGGTCCACTTCCCTCTAAACCCTTCCTATTCATGTACCCATCCAGATGCCTTTTAAATGTTGCAGTTGTCAAAACAATGCAACAGCTTATCAAACTGCTCCAAGAATTCGAGGAAATCAGGTCCAAAATGAAAATACCTCAAAAAGGAGCAGTTCTTAAAGCTGAGAGAGATAGTAGGAACTGCAGATGCTGGAGAATCCGAGACAACAAGGTGCAGGGCTGGATGAACACAGCAGGCCAAGCAGCATCATAGGAGCAGAAAGGCTGACGTTTCGGGCCTAGACCCTTCATCAGATATTTTCCCGTCCTCCATCTTGGATTACCCAGAATCCTTCACTTGCCTTATTATTAGCCGCTGTGACCTCAACAGCTTCCACACCCCGTCTGGCATTTCTTCCTTAACCCTCAAGCCCCGGCTCTCCACATCCCCCTCCTCTTTTTGGACTCTCCCCTCCCCCCCACCCCACCACCCCATTTAATGCACTCCTCTCTGGATTTCCTTTCATTGGGCAAAGTCTCTGTCTTCCCTTCAAGGTTGGTAAAGGAGTTTTGGATGATTCTAATCATGGTCAGGACAGGTATGGATATGTCCAGTTGTCTCCTCAGACACTGTAATCCCTGTCTCTGGAAGTAGTTGGAACTCATGCAGGAGCAGACATGGTGGTCTGAATTGATGTGATCTGAGGAAAAGGGCAGGGTGACATATTACTTTGATAAGCTGTTACCAATAAGAACATTCTTTTCTGTGTCAATAATACACTAACAGATATTCCCATTTTCTTAGAACGCTCATTATGTCTGGAACAGGGAGCAACTCAGAAGCCTTGACCTGACAAAAATAGAACATCTAATGGGTAAGGAGATGGAATATGTTTTACCCGCTGGACCCTGGTTGGAACATGGTCTTGGGTTAGGAAACACACAGTGCGTTCCGTTTTAACCATTCCTTGTCAACTTCCTTTGCCTTAGGATGTGAGTTGAGAAAAGGTTTCAAAGAAGGATTGGGCTTGGGGATTTATCATGAGGGCTGTTGGAGTATTTTAGGTGATAAAAAAATCCCAGCTGGGCATCTCTGAGGTCCACATGTGTCCAGTTGGGAGTATTAGTGAGATATTGGATGATGTCTGGTTAGCTGTATTTTCCTCTACTCTCCACTTTCCTCTGCCTTCCTAATCTACTGAGTCCCAGTCATAGTGCCTCAATTAAATCCAACTAACTCAGCACAGGCAAGTGAGGAATTAGGGGTTTTTCTCTTTGTAATGACTAGCTGCCTTCACCCACAAAACCTGTGCAGCAGCTCCTTCGGTGATCACTGTTGAGTTACTGTTGAAGATGAGAGACATTAGGATAGTGGTAACATCCTGCTGGTGATGTGGGTTCAGATCCCACCATAGCAGCTGGTGGAACTTCAATTCAATTGTTATCAAGTTAGCCTCAGTTGGCTACCAATGGTTCAAATTGGCTGGTAAAAGCCGCATGTGTGCAAAGGGGGAGACAGCACTATTTGGAAGTGACTGAATTTTCTGTATTGACTATGGCCTGAGGAATACAGGATATAGGGAAGCGAAGGAGCAGGGAGTCTGTGGTGAAAAGGGGACAAATGCTGTAAAGAAGTAACTGCTGATCCCCTTGTTTCAGACTGATTCTGCGTGAGAACTTGAGAGGGTTAATTAATGTGCCACCAGCCCTACCTACACAAGTGTGCAATTTAAACAGCTATTTTAATGGCCATTTTAGCATTCAGGGGAATTACTGTGGTCTCAGGAACAGTGACCCCAAAACACTTGTCATAAAATCCAAACTCTGGACAGGAAATCCGCCATCTTTACTCGATCTGGCGTACATGTGACTCCAGACGCACATCTAGGTGGTTGACTTTTAACAGACTGAAGTTGCCCGAGACAGCCACTCAGTTCAAGGGGCAATTAAGGATGGACAACAGATACAAGCCTTACCTGTGACACGCATATCCTATGAAAATAAAGATTAAAGAGAAAGATAGCAATATTATGATGACCTCTGCGCGTCCCAGGATGGTGAACCAATGGGTGTGGACTCCTCTAGCACAATTTTGATTAACCATTTATCACTGAATTAATAATTTTATTAATTAATCCTAGGTTGGCTATCATAGGCATCACCTGAAAGGTTGGCAATTCCTGTTTATCTTTGGTGGCAAGGGTGTCTGTGCCAGTTGTGAGGTGATACATTGGAGTAGCTTGGTGGGGCATTCAGAGGGCGGACAAGAGTATTAATTAGCTGGAAACAGGATTTCTGCCCCTCACTCAATGGGTTGTCTTGCCTCGGGGAAGATGCTGACATGGCATCTCTGTAGACCCAGTGCCTGCAGTGGTCAGGGCTGGTACTGACCATGAGTTGTGCCCAGGACCAGGTAAAACTGGGCAGTTTTGTTGTCAGCAGGGGAGGGGAGTACAGAAGGTTTTGATGCTGGAAAGGGCACCCATGGGGGTGGTGTCCCTCACTTTTTTATTCATTCATGGGCTGTGAGAGTTAGGGTGCTGGGCCAACATTTTATTACCCATTCCTAATTGCCCCTTGGTCTGAGTAGCTGGCCAGGGCCCTTTCAGAGGCCATTTAAAAATTAGCCAATTTGCTGTAGGTCCAAAATCATACACAGACACAGGTAAGGATAACAGTTTCCCTGCTCTAAAGGGCATTAATGAACCAAATGGGTAACAAGGTCAACATGACGCTAGCTCTCAATTTGTTTTAAGAGAGTTGAATTCAAATTTCATCATTTGCCTTACTGGGATTTGAACTCATGAACCATAGTGTAGTGATGTTACCACTGTGCCACTGCCTCCCTGCAGTTAACCTGTTCCGATATGGCCTTGCCCAAAATTACTTTCTGAGCATTCCTCACTCCCTGAATGCTTCCCACCAGCCTCAGAATTCAGGCCAGACAGGAATAATTTGCCACCACAAGGCCTCGATTAGGGTGAGGAGGGGCAGAAAGCCCACAGGCCCCCCAAAAAAAGATTGTAGACAGGTTGGAGGTGGGAAATGGGCAGGGAGGGTAGTGGGAAGGTGGCCTGGGAAGTGTTTGCAGCCTGCTGTGTGATTTCTGTGCCATGCTACGTTCAGCCATGTTTAATTTCTTGACGTTGCACTTATCCAGTTGTGTTGCTGATTGAAGGAGATTGCTGTGATGTGCTCACTCTGTGCCCCTCTTTATGTTTGCCAGCCCTGTTTGAACACGGTGACCTCCAGTACGAGCTGGAAAGAAATAAAACCACAGATCCCTCCCTGGAAGAAATGGTGACAACAGCAATCAGGATTCTCAGCAAGAATCCGAAAGGCTTCTTCCTACTTGTGGAAGGTATATGCGCAGGGCAGCGTGTAATCGTGTTCATGATTGAATTAGGAACAGAATGATGTTAAACTGATCAGAAAAAAAAACTCTGAGTTTCATTTCTCTCTCTATGTGCTGACACAGCCCACATAAAGAAATGCTCCTACTGTTTCCAGATACAGCTCTGAGCAGTATGTTCAATCATTACCTTTAGAATGACCGCAACCATAGACCCCAATTAAATATTTACCAATATATCACAGTCACAACCTTTATAGTCGTGTATTATAGCCTTCAGTTATTTGTCAATAAGTTACAGAGGGTACAAATTAATGTGAGTGATTATATTCAGTGAGATCTTGGCTCCAGTTACAATGGGCACAGTTGGTAAATCCAGAAAGGTTGATATTCTAAGCAACCACTGTATTCTGCTGGTGAAAACTGCCAATTCAGAGAAGCCCATTTGGGATCACTATGGACTGAGCCTCACAATCCAGGCTGAAACAGTGCAGGAATCCCTGCGGTGCTGTCTTTTCGTTGAGAAGGTCAATCAAGGCCCCGTCTACCCTATTAGGTGTAATTTCAAAGAAGAACTTGGGGATTCTTCCAGTGTCTTCAACCAACATCTCTGCTCAGACATCATAATAGTGACTGCTCTATTAAAGTTATGTCCCTTCAGAGCTTGCATTGTTCCTGATTATATGGGAAGGTGCTATCTCATGAAATTCTTCACCTACTACCTCATTGTGAACTGCTAATGTGTTCAGAGAGCTGCTGTGGGCAGAATCTAGAACTTTTGTCCATGATAGGTTTGGCAGCAGGAGACATTTAATCAGGAGGACAGTGGCAAATAGGGACAGCATTCCTGCCTCTGCCCCCGTTAAACCTGTGGCAAGAGCTCCTATAGACACTGCTGCCAATCGAGGCCCTTAAGTGGGCAACTAATGCCTACCTTGGTGGCACGTTTCCAGGAACTCCTGGTGGGCGGGCACATAGTGCTTAATTGATGGACCTGGCATCGGGGGTGAGGGGTTCCTATTGAGCGTTAACCCCTGCCCCAGCTGCTGACCATCGTCATCTGTGTGACGCACCACCCCCAGCTCTGTGAATGCCTCACCCGTACCTCAGTCCATCATAGGCCTCAGTACCAGCAGCATTCACCATGCTCCTAGCGGCACTGCCAGGCAATGAAGAATTGGCAGCTGTCAATGGGGATGGCCACCACCCTGAGATCTTTCCCGCCACTGACCGTTTAAATACCCAATATGGCCCTTAATTCCATTGGCTTTTCCAAAATGTGGCAATGTGTTTTTTTCAAAATTTCATTTACAGGACAAGGGTGTCACTGGCTAGGCAGCATTTATTGCCCACACAGAGGACAGTCAAGAGTCAACCATATTGCTGTGGGTCTGGAATCATGTGTAGTCCAAACCATGTAAGGATGGCAGATTTCCTTCCCTAAATGACATTAGTGAACCAGATGGGCTTTTCCTGACAATGGACAATGGTTTCATGGTCATCAGACTCTTAATTCCAGATTTTTATTGAATTCAAATTCCACCATCTGCTGTGGTAGGGTTCGAAACCAAGACGCAAAACATTTTCTGGGTCTCTGGGTAAGATTACAACATTTAAAAGGCATCTGGATGGGTGTATGAATAGGATGGATTTAGAGGGAAATGGGCCAAATGCTGGCAAATGGGACTAGATTTATTTAGGATACCTGGTCGTGTTGGATCGAAGGGTCTGTTTCCATACTGTACAGCTCTATGATTCTATGACTCCATTCCAGTGATAACACCACTATCCCATGCCCTCCCCTTGAGGGAGGAGCATCTGGCTCTCTCACTGGTGGGTTGGGACTCTTGTTGCCTCCATTAAACATCTCTCAATGAGTGGAATGAACGATACACTAGCTGTAAACCTAGCAATGATCTGCTCCCTCAGATTGTTGCCTGTTGTATAACAAAGACTTAAGAATAAAAGGTTCCAGCCCTTGCTGTCTGGGTAGAATCACACAGTTAATTCATGTGTGTCTTCAGTACTACTTATCATTCATGCGTGTGTACAACAGAGGGACCTCTAGAGAACATGAATAGTTCATGTTGTTTACCTCAGTGAAATAACTACAGATGTTGACTAATCCATGACATTTTCACACAGCCGTAAAGTTCACTCTACATAGTTTAGATTTCAATTTATTTGACACATTTAAACTTCCTTTGAAACTGCCTGACCAGTTTGCTAAATTCGGCAGTGACGTTATGTTAAATTAGATGAAGATGTTGAATGATATTTATAGATTTCTCAGGGGGCAAAATTATTTCAGACAAATCTTCCAATTTTGTACATCTGATGCTGAGTCACAACTGTAGAAGCTGTGTTTACGGTTAAGTTTAGGTTTAGGCTTAGGGTTAGTGTTAGTATTAGTGTTAGAGTTTGGGTTAATATTAGTGTTAGAGTTTGGTTAATATTAGTGTTAGGGTTTTAGAATTTGGGCTTGTGTTGGAATTTGTGTTTGGCTTAGTGTCAGAGTTTGGCCTAGGGTTAGAGTTTGGGTTAGGTTTTTGGGTAGGGTCAGGTTTTGCATTAGGGATTGGCTTTGTGTTTGCATTTGCATTTGGATTCAGATTAGGATCAGGGTTTAGGTTAGGTTTTGGGTTGGAGTTAGGATTGGGTTTGTGTTTTTGGGTTAGGGTTAGGGTTTAGGTAAGGTTTTGAATTAAGGTTTGCTTTAGGGTTAGGGTTAGGATTATGGTTAGGATTTATAATAGGGCAAAGGTTTGTGTTAGGTTTAGAGTTAGGATCAGGGTTTGGATTTGTGCATTGGCTAGGGCTAGGGTTTTGGCTTTGGCTAAGGCTAGCATTAGGGGCCAGGGGGCAGGGGCCTGGGTCAGGGCTAGGGTTTAAGTTAAGCTTAAGGTTTGGGCTAGGTTTTGGTTTTATATGATGTTTGAGTTAGGGTTAGGGTTTGGATTAGGGTTAGGGTTAGGTTTAGGGTTTGAGTTAAGGTTAGGTTTTGGGTTAGGGTTTGGGTTTATGATACATTTGAGGTTTAGGGTTAGGGTTTGTGTTTCTGTTCAGGTTAAGGTCAGGGTTGGGTTTGTGCTAGGATTAGGTTTTGGGTTAGTGCTGGGATTAGGGTTTGGATTTATGTTAAAATTAGGGCTTGGGTTAGGAGTAGAGTTAAGAGTTAGGGTTCGGGTTTGTGTTTGATTTTGGTTTGGTGTTTAGGTTAGTGACATCACTGATTGGATTATCTTGATGACTATCATGAGTTAGGGTTACAACAACAACTTATGGCTCATTGGCACCTTCCAAGTGATAAAGTGTCTGGAGACACATCATAGGAGCATGAAACAAAATATTGTGAGCCACATAAGGAAATATTAGGTTCAGTGACTGTAAGATTGGTATTAAGGAATTGCTGAAAGGAGTAAAGAGAACTTGAGAAGGAGAGAGGGGTAGAGAAGGAATCCCAGAACCTGAAATCTAGTTAACTGAAGACATGTCCATTTGTCGGTGGAGCCAGTAACATTGGGGATATGTTAGAAACTAAAAGCAGGTATGTGCAGTTTTCTCAGAGGGGTTTTGTGGTGGTTCAAGGAGATTACAGAGATAGGATGGGATGAGGCTATGAAGGCATTTTAGAAAACAAGGGTGAGAATGTTATAGTGAAAATGCTGCTTGACGAGGATCCGTAGTAGGTCAGTCAGACTCGTGGGGGACTGAGACTTGCTACAAGCGAAGACACAGGAAGCACAGCTTTGGATGACCTTAGCTTTAAGAAGATTAGGATGTGTGTGACCAGCCAGGATCACAGTGGAATGTTGAGTCTAGAGGGAACAAAGGTGTGAACCAGGGATTGTGGAGCAGGTGAGCAAGACCGGGGTGGAATCAGGTGACATTATGCGTGTGGGAATAGATGTTCTTCACCAGAGGAAACAAACAGTAATAATGGGAAATGGACAGGCGAACTACAGCTTCATTTTGATGTATGCTTTTTTGTACATCCCATTTGCCAGTTTTCCTGTTTTTTTTTTTCCTTTTGGGTAGTGTTGGCACAAATATGAGATTCCAAGCTTGGAATTTCAGACTGGAATATCACAGATGGATTTAGGACTATACTCAGTGAGAGTCACAATGGAAATATTATGTGCTAGTGACAGGAGTATGAGGAATTAAGGGTGAACTATCATAAGGTTTGGCCTGCGATGTCGTGCATGGGGAATATGACTGATTAAAACTGGATTATCCTGGACTACAGTGAAGACTTATACTAGTTATAGAGTCATTGACTCATACAGCACAGAAACAGACCCTTTGGCCCAACTCGTCCATGCCGACCAGGTTTCCAAAACTGAACTAGTCCCATTTGCCTGTATTTGGTTAACATCCCTCTAAACTCCTTCTAAACCTTGAATAGAAACAGGAATTGCTGACAACGCTCAGTGGGTCATGCAGCATCTGTGGAGAGAAATTAGAGTTGACATTTCAGAACCAGGAACTCACAGAACTCTGATTTCTCTCCACAGATGCTGCCAGACCTGGTGAGATTTTCCAGCAACTTCTGTTTCTGTTTCAGATATCCAGACCTGCAGTTCTTCCGTTCTTTTTTGACCCTGTAAACTTTCCTATCCGTGTACCTGACCAAATGTTTTTTTAAATGTTGTAATTGTACCTGCATCTACCACTTCCTTTGGCAGCTTGTTCCATACATGCACCACCCTCTGTGTGAAAAAGTTGCCCCTCAGGTCCGTTTTAAATATTTACCCTCTCACATTAAATCTCTGCCATCTAGTTTTTGACTCCTCCCCCACCATCTTGGGGAAAAGACCTTGGCTATTTACCCTATCCAAGCCCCCCATGATGTTATAAGTTTCTATATGGTCACCCCTCAGCTTTTGACACTCCAGAGAAAGAAAGATCCCAGCTCATCCATCCTCTCCTTATAACTCAAACCCTCCAGTCTCGGTAACATCCCTGTATATCTTTTTTGCACCCTTCCCAGTTGAATAACATCCTTCTATAGCAGAGTGAGCAGAATTGTACACAGTACTCCAAATGTGACCTCACCAATTAAATTAAATCTAGAGCCATACTGTGTGGAAACCAGCCATTTGGCCCATCAAGTCCACACCAGCCCCATGAAGAGCATGCCACCCAAACCCATCCCCTATAACCCTGCATTTAGCATGGCCAATCCACCCTAAACTGCACATCTTTGGACTGTGGGAGGAAACCAGAGCACCCAGAGGAAACCCACGCAGACACAAGGAGAGTGTGCAAACTCCACACAGATAGTTGCCCGAGGGTGGAATTGAACATAGGATCTTGGCGCTGTGAGGCAGCAGTGCTCACCACTGAGCCACTGTGCGGCCCTTGATAGATCAAGTATAATCTAGAGCTGAGTTTTGATTTGTAAAATTCCAGGTTACCATGTGCAGTGTTTTATCATGTGTTCCCATTGCGTGAGGTTGCATATTGGGAGTGCAGATCTCAACAAAAAAAACAAACCCTCCAAGATGTGTTTGATTGGTTACAGTGAAGCACAGAATGTGTAGAGAAAGTTCTGCCTTCTTGAATAGATCTCAGGTGTTGGTGTAGCTGTGGCTTAGTCAGCAGCAAATTTACCAATCATGATGGTGAAAAATCCTTGAAACTCTCCTGGGACCACTAGCTTTCAGATTTGTTTGCTGTGTACAGTTACAGGTTCCTGTGTACAGAGGGATCCCTGTAAGTAGTCACATGGCTTATTATCCCGAGATTGGGTGTGTGGGGACGAAGAGTGAGAGAAAGGAGGAAGGTTGAAAGCAAGACGGGAAATTCACGCGGATGTGGTGGCGTTTGCAGAAATGCCAAGTACATGTGACCTGACAGAATTTGAAACAAACAAGGAGAATTCTCACATTCTTTGTGTTGGTTTCAGATTTCCATCACCTGCAATATTTTGCTTTTCAGTGACAGATTGAGAGAGCTATGTTGCCCTTTGCAAGCCTGTTATATGCTGCAGGAAAGGTGGTGTCTGACCAGAGCACAGTCTGATAAATAGTTTCTCTTTTATTCAGAGATAGTAGGAACTGCAGATGCTGGAGAATTATGATGCTTTTTTTTCTGATGAAGGGTCTAGGCCCGAAACGTCAGCCTTCCTACTCCTATGATGCTGCTTGGCCTGCTGTGTTCATCCAGCTCTACACCTTGTTATCTCTTTTATTCAATTGTGGCTGTGTGTCATACAACATCCTATTGGCTTCATCCAGTGCTGTTGCTGGATCTTGTTGTTTAGTGCCACATCTACATTTGCTCTCCAACCTCTTCCAGTTTCAGCACCATTCCCCAAACACGTGTAACCATCTATTTCCTTCCTATTTCAAGCTCTTTAAACATACCTGGACCACAATCCATCCGCTGCCACTCAGTTCTTTTACACTGTCTGTCATAGCCTCAAAGAGTTTACAGCATAGAAAGAGACCCAACGGCCCATCATGTCCATACTGGTCATCAAGCATTCATCCATTCTAATCCCATTCTCTATACCCTTCAGCAATTTCTCAGCTTCCTCCTCCCTCAATCAGCTGACCTGCTTAGTTTGGTGCCATCTGTACATGTGACAAATTTGGCACCAAGTTTCTGAATCATGACCAGTCATATAAAGAAAACTGTTCCAGTGGGGGTCCTATAATTCAACCCTGAACTCCAGATGGTCTCCCAATTCTGTTTTCTTTATTCTTTTACGTGAGTGTTGCTTACAAAGCAGGAATTTTTTTTGCTCATCCCTAATTACCCTGGAAGTGTGATGCCACCTCAGTGGGCAGCTAAGAATTGACCACCTGACCGTGGGCCTGAAGTCACATTCAGGCCAAACCAGGTAAGGGCAGTAGATTTCCTTCCCTAAAGGGTATGAGTGAAGCTGATGGGATTTTACAATAATTACAGTGGACAACATGAATACTGAGGCTAGCTTTCAGTTCCAGAGTGCATTCACTGAATTTAAATTTCAAAGTATTCATCTGGACCATTACCATGACATTACCACTACACCATCATCTCCCTCCTAGAGAGTAAATCAATGCTTATTGTTTCCTGCTCCACACCTAGTTTCATGTACCTCCTCACGGTTTATTGTGAACTCCCCAAATGTGGTGTTTAGTTCAGAATCTGAGCACGTGGAACTGCCATTCGAGTTCTGCCAGACTTTTGTGATCTACTTGGGTTGCAACTTTCTCAATAGGTCAATAGGATTCTCTGTTCACAGATAAAGTCACACCTCCCTGGCTTGCTAAAAGCCTGCAATAACATCACTGTTGGTCTAAACTACCATTTCTTCCAACTTACCTCAAGCAAAGCCACAGAAGGTACTTTACACTCGAGCTGTGCGGAGCTCCACATTTAGCCACCTCACTTCCTGGAGGCTTTCAACAGCCAATAAAGAACGGCTTGCTGCAAAAGTGAGGATGGTGAACTAGGGAATGCCATTCAGCCCCTCAAACCTTCTCTGACCTTCACTCCAACTCCTTTTACCAGGCTTTGCCATCTCCTTTGCTCATCTTCTTCTCCACCAGACACATCAGGAGTTCCTAAACTCCAAGGGTGTTGTAGAACAAGACGGTTGGAGTCACAAGCTCTGAGAGGCCTCTATGATTCTTGGATTGAATTTTGACAGCTGTGAGGCCTCTTTAAATGCTCCTTTTTTATATATATATATCCAGAAGTGCTCTTACACACAACTGAACATTTTTGTTCACCCCATCACCAAATCACCTGTTTCAGAGATAGGAACTGCAGAAGCTGGAGAATCTGAGATAACAAGGTGTAGAGCTGGATGAACACAGCAGGCCAAGCAGCATCAGAGGAGCAGGAAGGCTGACGTTTTCAGAAAAACCTTTTCTGAAGAAGGGTCTGGGCCCAAAACGTCAGCCTTCCTGCTCCTCTGATGCTGCTTGGCCTGCTGTGTTCATCCAGCTCTACACCTTGTTATACCAAATCACCTGTGGTGTCTTTTCACCTATTAACCACCACCAGTAACTAATCCAAGTTTCTAACTGATTCATTTAAGGGCAATGCAGACCATCAAAGGTGAGCGAGAGAAGGAGGGGGTTCAATCTAAATGGATTTGGAAAGGGACATGAAGCACTCTATCCCTCATGGTGCCCACCTGTCTAAAGGCATCATGGATGCCGCATGCTCCCTCACCAAGGACCCCCGATACAAACATACTTCTTTCTTTTATGGTCAGTGGATGTGGCTGAATCACTGAGGCTTGGTTTGCTGTTACAACCACAGTCTGTAAAAATGTGGACTTGCCCCATTTACGAGGCAAGCCCAGCAGTTTTAATGCCCATCTCCCTCCCCCCCCAAACCCAACCCACTCCAGTTCCCCACTACAAAAGTCTCCAACCACCTCACCAGCCAATAGCCCGGTCCCCCCCTCTTGCTCATCAATCTCTATCCATTCTCTGCCCCAGTTTTCACTATGGGGACACAAGGGGCTTTCAAATGTGGTCACATTGGGAAAAAGCTTTGGGAATCACAGAAGTGTTCCAGTGCCGAACAAGGCCACTTGGCCTGTCGTGTTAACACTGGTTCTCCGAGCACTTTGACCTAGTGGCAATCTTCCTGCCTTTACTCTGTAACTCTGCCTGTTGTTTCTATTTAAGCAATAATTTAAACAATGCTCCTCTTGATTACCTCAATTGAAGTCGCCTCGCTCACTTTTCCAGCCAGCGCATTCCAGACCCTAACTATTAGAGTGGGTGAAAATAAGTTCTTCTCTCACTGACCGATTGCTTCTTTTGCAAATCATTGTAAAATTATGCCCTCTGGTTCTCCCTCCTTTCATGAGCAGGAACAATTTCTCCCTATCGATTCTGTCCAGACCCCTCATGAAGAGGCCGAACCACATTTTGAGCCACTCCACTCCCCACTTGCTGAGATTTTAGGGGGAGGCAATGGCCTGGTGATATTATCACTGGATTGTTAACCCAGAGAACCAGGTAATGTTCTGGGGACCCGGTTTTGAATTCCAGCACAGCAGATGTTGGAATTTGAATTCAATAAAAATCTGGAATTAAGAGTGTAATGATGACCACGAAACGATTGTAGGGAAAAGCCCATCTGGTTCACTAATGCCCTTTAGGGAAGGAAGTCAGCCATCTTGACTTGGCCTGGCCTACATGTGACTCCAGACCCAAAGCAATGTGGTTGACTCTTCACTGGGCTGATGCCTTCATCCTGTGAATAAATTTAAAAAAATGTTGAAATGTTTAAGTGATTCTCCTATGTAAAAGGCAATGACTGAATCTTTCCTTCTGAAGGTGGCAGAATAGACCATGGACATCATGAAGGGAAAGCCAAGATGGCTTTACACGAAGCTGTGGAGATGGATAAAGCCATTGGGAGAGCAGGTTCCTTAACTAGAGACACAGATACATTAACAGTTATCACAGCAGACCACTCTCACGTTTTTACCTTTGGCGGCTACACCTTTCGGGGAAGCAACATATTTGGTGAGTTCAACAACAGAAACTTGCATTTATGTAGCACTTTTTACATGAGGAAAGCTTGCAGAAGCCTTGTCAATCAAATTTAATATTGAGTAACAGGCGGTGATATTAGGACAGATGACCAATGGCTTGGTCAAAGACTTGAGTTTTGAAGTAGCGGGCTAGGTGTGGCAGAGAGGTGGAGAGGTGGGAAGTCAAAGGAACAGAACTCCATAGAGGATGGAATTGACCTCTGAAGACATGGCCAGCAATGGCAGAGAGATTAAAACTGGGGATGTGCAGGAGGTCAGAATTGGAGAATCACAGGGGCCTCAGAGCATTGGAGATTTGGAGGAGATTACAGACATGGGAGGGGGTGAGGACAGGAGGGATTTGAAAGCCAGGATGGAAAATTTTATAATTGAGGCATTCATTAAACAAGGACTCTAAGTATTTGCTGTCTTAATTGGTAAAGAAACACCAGGATTATTGACTATAATAATAAAAATGGGAAGAGCTAGAGCAGGTCTAGCAGCCTTTGAGAGAGTTCTGGTCTCCAGTTTTGAAGAAAAGTCATTGTATTTCACCCATTCCCTTTCTCACATGGAATTCAATCTATGTTCAGAATTAAATGTCATTTAATTCTGAACTTAGATTGAACAGGAAGTAATTCATTCCCATGAATCCATTCTATCAGGTACTAAGTGATCTGCATCCCAATGCAATTTATTGGAATTTGCTCCAGATCCCCTGACAATCTTAGATCATAAGATGTAGAAGCAGAAATAGGCCATTCAGCCCATTAAGTCTGCTCTACCATTTAATGAGATCATGGATAATCTGATAATCCTCAACTCCACTTTCCTGTCTTTTCCCATATCTCTTGATTCCTTTACTGGTTAAAAATCTGTCTCTCTTGGCCTTGAGTGTGCTTAATGAGCCAGCATTGACAGCCCTCTGTGGTAGAGAACTCCACAGGTTTACTACCCTCTAAGAGAAGAAATTCCTTCTCATGTCGGTTTAAACTGATCCCTTATTCTGAGTTTACATTTTGTGGTCCTAGACTCTCAAGAGAAAACAACCTCTCCGCATCTACCTTGTCAAATCCCCTCAGAATCACTTACATTTCAATAAGGTCACTTCTAATTCTTCTTGACTCTAATGAGTACTGCCTTAACCTACTCAATCTCTCAGAAGAAATTCCCTCCATAGCTGGGACAAGCCTCATGAACCTTCTGTGGACTGCCTCCAATGCCAATATATCTTGCCTTAGATAAGGGGACCAAAACTATTCACAGTTTTCTAGCTGCGGACACCCATGTATAGTTTTAGCAAGGATTCCCTGTTTTTATACATCATTCCCTTTGAAATAAAGGCCATCATTCCATTTGCCTTCCCCATTACCTGCTGAACTTGTATGCTAGCTTTTTGGGATTTATAAATCAGGACTCCCAAATCCATCGGTGCTGCATATTTCTGTGATCTTTCGTCATTTAAGTAACATTCAGCTCCATTTCTTCCTACAAAAGTACATAACCTCACAACTCCCCACATTATATTCCATCTGTCAAGTTTTTGCCCACTCACCTGAACTTGTCTATATCCCTCTGCACATTCTTTGTGTCGTTCTCATCACTTGCTTTTCCGTCTATTTTTTGTGTCATCCGCAAACTTGGCTATAGCACATTCCTATTCCTCATTCAAGTTATTAACATATGTTATATATAATTGAAACCCTTTGGCAGTCCACTAGTTACTGGTTTCCAGCCCGAAAATGCATCTTTATCCCATTAATTGTATTCCATGAGGTAGCTATTCCTCTTTCCAAGCTAATATACTGCCCTCCAATGCCATGGGCTCTTATTATCATCAGTAATCCGACATGTGACACCTTATCCAAAGCTTTTTGAAAACCCAATTATATAACCTCTGCTGCTTCCCCTTTGTTTATCATGTTTGTTATGTCCTCAAAGAATTCTGCTAAATTTATCAGCCATGATTTCCCCTTTTGTGTGAAGCCATGTTGATTCCTCTTGTTTACATTATGTATTTTTAAATGCTTTGCTATTACGTCCTTGGTAATAGTCTCTAACATTTCCCCAATAATGGACATTTAGCTGACTGGCCTGTAGTAACCTATATTAGACAGATGTGTTACACTGGCAGTTTGCCAATTCTCAGGGAGATTTCTAGGATCTATGAATTCTTGGAGAATTACTTCCAGTACATCCACTAGCTCTGTAGCTACTTTCTTTGCTATCCCAGGATGCATCCTATTTGATCCAGGGGACTTATTAGCCTTTAGCCCCATTCACTTCCCTAGTAGATTTTCTCTAATTATAGTAATTTCTCATCCCTTTGTCCCTTAATTATTTATCAATTTTGGGATGCTAGCAGTGTCTTGTACTGTGAAGGCAAATGCAAAATATTTATTTAACTCCTCTGCCATTTTCTGGTTCACCTTCATTATTTCACCAACCTCTTTCCCTTGGGGGGGGGTGTCTATGTTCATTTTGACCTCTCTCTACCTTTCTGTATATTTAAAGAAGCTCTTGCTCTATGATTTGATATTATATGCAAGTTTACCTTCAAAGTTTATTTTCTCTAGTGGCCTACCACTACATTTTGCCACATTGCATGTTTTCTCTTTCAATTTGATGCCATCCTTAATTTTACTGGTTAGCTTATCCCCTTCCCAGAAACATTTGTCCGCACTGGGATATATCTTTGCTATAAGCCATGAGATATTTTATTAAGTGTTTACCGATTTTCTTCAGCCATGTTTGCTGCTAAATTGTTTTCCCAGTCCACTCCACCCAATACTCAACTTATTCCTTTCGAATTACCCTTATTTAAACTTAGCACAGCTGTTTCTGACCCGAGTTTCTTCCTCTCAAACTGAACACTAAATTTGACCATATTATGATCACTGTTCCCCAGGAATATTTTATGCTGGGATGATTTATTAAACCTGCCTCATTACACATCAACAGATCTAAAATAGCCTGATCCCTGGTATGTCCATAATATATTGACTCGAATAAATTCTGTGATCTCTTCCAGCTGGCTACCTCTGCCAATCTGACTTTCTCAATCTACATAAAGAATAAAAATTCACCCATGGTTAATGTGCTGCATTTTTACATGCCATCATTGTCGCCAGATCTATTCTCTGTTCCACAATATAGCTACTGGTAGGAGGCCCACCAATGTTTACTTCCCCTTGTTATATCTTACGCCCACCCATATGGGTCGTCCATCTGCCGACCCAAGATCATTTTTTGCTGTTGTACGTATTCTATCCTGTACCAAAAATGCTACCACACCACCCTGTCCTTCCTGCTTGGTCCTTTCAAAAAGTCACATGAAGTCTAGGCCCGAAACGTCAGTCTCTCTGCTCCTATGATGCTGCTTGACCTGCTGTGTTCATCCAGCCCTGCACCTTGTTGTCTCGGATTCACCAGCATCTGCAGTTCCTACTATCTCTGAAATCATGAGGGGCATGGATAGGATGAATAGTCATGGTCTTTTCCCCAGGGTAGGGGAGTCCAAAACTCGCGGGCATAGGTTTGAAGTGAGAGGGGAAAGGTTTCAAAGGGACTTAAGGGGCAACATTTCATGCAGAGGGTGGTGTGTGTATGGAAGTGATAGAGGTGGGCACAATTACAACATTTAAAAGGCATCTGGATGGGTAGATAAATAGAAAGTATTTAGAGGGATATGGGTCAAATGTTGGCCAATGGGTTTAAATTAATGTAGAATATCTGATTGGCACGGACGAGTTGGACTAAAGGGTCTGTTTCCATGCTGTATATCTCTATGACTCTATGACCTCTGTATTGTTCCCAACTTTGATCTCCTTGTGACCAAGTCTCTGTAATGACTGCAAGATCATACCTGTTAACTTGCATATGAGCTGTTAATTCATTTATTCTGTTCCAAATACAATGTGCATTCAAGTAGAGAGCCATTAGTCTCACCATTTTATCATTTGTTCCCCCTTTAATCCTATTGCTGACGTTTTCCTATGTTTCTACTTTCTAGCCCTCCTGTCCCACTCTGGGTGTTAGTATCCAAAAAGCTGCCCTGTAATTCTACCATATTGCCTTGCCTTGAAAGCTTGCGTATCCCCTCCCCCAAACCTTACCCCTCTCTAATCAGTTTAATACCATCTCTCTCTCACTAAAGGCTCAATCCCCAATCTCCTTCACTTGATGGAAGAGAAAACAATTTAATTGTAATTCCTTAGTATCACAGCTACATATTAATTCAATTTGAGGAACAGAAGTTGATTGGAAAAATGCATTGACTTATGGTAATAATCCTATTCCTGGACTTGCACTGCAGTTCAAAGTAGAAGTTCAAGTTTGGATTAGTGTTGAAAATGGCCATGTTTGAACTGTGGCCCTTCTAGTAATACAGGAAAGTGCTGCAATCAGTTTGTACTCAGCAAGATTCCACAAAACCTAATGTGATAAATGGCAAGGTAGCTAATACTGTTGAAGGATAGAGGTTGGCCAGGACAGCAGGAGAACTTCTGAAGAACTGTCTTAATAGCCTCAAAAAGTTAACTCTGTTTCTCTCTCCACAGATGCTGCCAGACCCGCTGAGTTTCTCCAGTATTAACAGTTTTTATTTCAGACCTCCAGCATCCATAGCATTTTACTTTAAATTTTATTGAATATGATGACTTTATCCTGTTATTAAATGACTTTTGTAATTTAGGTGGCTCCACGCTTTGGGAATAGACTTTAGTTTGTGACTGAGTTCATAATAAAATCCAATGCATTACAGGAAAGGCTCCTTAGATGATGGACTGTACTACTAAGAGAATCCCCGACTGTTTTTGGTGTGGGTTTGCCTCTAGCATGGTGTTTTACCTGATGTCATCCCTCATAACTTCAGAAACGGAATTTATTGTGGTATTGAAGAATCCAACTTATTTATTCCAATTAACTACCGTGTACAAACATTACATTCCTCAGGCATTAGTGTCTGGGCTAATACTAAGCTGTTAGTTTACA